CTGTGAGTGGGTCAGCACTGTGGTTTTCTCCCTCCAACATGCCCACATGGACAGAGAAGGGTACAGGTTGCAATGTGTCTGGTTTCCAGACAGTTACTCTGTGTGACAGCATGATCACACAGTACTGCAGCAAATCCTGTAGAAAGCATGCCCAGGTAGAGCCAAAGCTGTCAATTTTCTGCCCTGGTCTCCCATCTTCTAGCCAAACTGAGCAAAACTGTTGGCAGTAACACACTTTTCAGTCACACCCACAGGCTCTCTTCTCCCAGGGCTGTGAACTGTTAAGTGCTGCTTCTCCTTGACCAGCAGAGAACAGGCCAGTAACACACAGAAGCCCTCCGTCGAGTCACTGGAGATGAGAAGTCGGTGGATTTGGGCAGATGATTCCCAATTCACTTTTAAATTCCATGTCATGGTTTTTCAACACTTATTGGTCTTATCATATTATATCATCCTCTATTAACTTGCCATCTGGGCAATATCCAGCTAAAATCTGGTCTGATTTGAGCAAACATTCCAGTTTCACATGAACTGTGTTTTTTCTTCAGACACAAATAACTCATGATCAGTGACCTCCAGGACTCTTGAGGTTTTTACCAGATGTTATCAAGCCTTTATCTCTGACTACAGGTGAGGCATGAATACCAAATAAAGGGGGCAGTAGCTTCAAGGGGTACAGAAAAAGATATGCTGCTTTATTTATCCATATGTTGATTATGGATTTGTTTAGATTTTTCAGCCATCCCTCTCCTACACTCACTGCTGGCCAATCAAGATTACTTTAAAAAGCAGGGCCCAGATATCAAAGCTTTGAACATGGTTTTTAAAATCAAGTTTTTTTATAAAATAAGCTAATTATGAATTATATTAGTCTGACTTCAGAACCTGCCTGTTCTACACACTTAATGGTTAAACATTTCCTTCTGCATCTCAGAATATATATTATTTTGATTTCAAAGGTAGATTTTAAAGACCTCCCACTAGATATAGCTATAAATACTATACAATCAAAGCAGTTGCCAATCCTTATGTTAACCTACTACAACTCATAAGCATTATTAAAGCTTAAACTTTAAGAACAGTATAACGCCACAAGCCCTGAAAGAGTCAAATAATTTGGAATTTCCTCTGTCCTCATCCTTAACATCAAATTCCTAAGCCGATCTTTTTCTTCAGCCTCTCAAGCCCCTCAGCAAACAGGTCACTCTTGCAACATATCCTTAAGGTCATCAACTTACAGTTAGGGTTTTTTTACTACAAAGGAATTTGAAGCCAAAACCACTGAGGACAAGACAAAGAATACTGACACTCTT